ATACTACTTGTGCATCCAAAAACCCTTAAACCCAAATCTTATTTTCAAGTGTCCACCATACCTATCTAGGGATTTAGCAAGATCCCTCAAGTAAGTTGTCATCGGTGCGAAAAGGCAATAAAAAATGCTTCTAAAAGTGTGAGATCATTTAGTGTAATAGAAAATTGAGTGTTGCACGAACTTGTGATGGTGAAGAATAAAAGCGACATACTGCATAATAAAGATCGCTATCACAAGGGGTAATGCAACGTGACGCTTTTGCACTAAGAGGTTGAGCATACAAACAAATAAGCGCATGGCAACCTTTGCTTCCCTCTGCGAAGGGCCTATCTTTTACTTTTATGTATTTAATTTTATGCAAAGAGTCAAAGTTTTCCTTCTATTCCTTTTTATTTTCCTCCTTTGGCAAGCATCACGTGATGAGGAAAGATCTAGGCACATATGTCCAGTTGAATATAGATAGCATGAGTTATTATTGTTGACATCACCCTTGAGGTGAATACGTTGGGAGGTGAAACTATAAGCCCCTATCTTTCTATGTGTCCGGATGAAACGTTTTGCTCATGTGTATGCGGTGAGTGTTAGCAATCATAGAAGACTATATGATGGTTGAGTATGTGGACTTGCCTAAAGGCTCCGATACGTGATCCTTCCTGAAAAGATGATGAATTGTAGGTGCAAAGTTGACTGAGAACATAGTTTGTTGGTTTCTAATAGAGTTTTTGCTTTATACTTCAATAGTGTGATGAATTATCACTTATTCATGAGAAGTCTATGATAAAAGTTCTATGATATGAGTCTTATGTTTAAGTTTGTTGCTGTTATAATAATGAACATGATGCTTCTATGTCTGTATTTTGTTTTTATCGACACCTCTCTCTCTAAGCATGTGGACATATTTTTCGATTTCAGTTTTCGCTTGAGGACAAGCGAGGTCTAACCTACGGGGAGTTGATACGTCCATTTTGCATCATGTTTTCTTACTCTTATTTATGATGTTTTTATCCATAATAATGCTTTTTGGAGTAATTCTAATGCCTTTTCTCTCATAATATGCAAGGTACACACAAAGAGGGAGAAGTCCGGCAACTGGAAATCTGGACTAGGAAAAGCTACGTCAGGCCACCTATTCTGCACAACTCCAAATAAGATGAAACTTCACGGAGATTTTTTTATCAAATATATGAGGAATATTGGAGCAAGTAACTACCAAAGGGGGCCCACCAGGTGGGCACAACCCACCTAGGCGCGCCCTGGTGGGTTGTGCTCACCAAGGCCCACCTCCGGTGCCCACCTTCTAGTATATAAGTCATCTTGACCTAGAAAAAATCAGGAGAGGACTTTCGGGACGGAGCGCCATCGTCTCGAGGCGGAACTTGGGCAGGAGCACTTTTGTCCACCGACGGAGCGATTCCGTCGGGGGGACTTCCCTCCCGGAGGGGAAAATCATCGTCATCATCATCACCAACAACTATCCCATCTTGGGGAGGGCAGTCTCCATCAACATCTTCAACAGCACCATCTCATCTCAAACCCTAGTTCATCTCTTGTGTTCAATCTTGTTACCGGAACTATAGATTGGTGCTTGTGGGTGACTAGTAGTGTTGATTACATCTTGTAGTTGATGACTATATGGTTTATTTGGTGAAAGATTATATGTTCAGATCCAATATGCTATTTAATACCCCTCTGATCTTGAGCATGATTATCATTTGTGAGTAGTTACTTTTGTTCTTGAGGTCACGGGAGAAATCATGTTGCAAGTAATCATGTGAACTTGATATGTGTTCGATATTTTGATAGTATGTATGTTGTGATTCCCTTAGTGGTGTCATGTGAACGTCGACTACATGACACTTCACCATATTTGGGCCTAAGGGAATGCATTGTGGAGTAGCAATTAGATGATGGGTTGCGAGAGTGACAGAAGCTTAAACCCCAGTTTATGCGCCATTCCATACGGGACCGACTGGATCCAAAAGTTTAATGCATGGTTAGAATTTATTCTTAATACTTTTCTCATAGTTGCGGATGCTTGCGGGAGGGTTAATAATAAGTAGGAGGTTTGTTCAAGTAAGAACAAGACCTAAGCACCGGTCCACCCACATATCAAATTATCAAAGTACTGAACACGAATTAAGCCAACATGATGAAAGTGACTAGATGAAAACCCCGTGTACCCTCAAGAACGCTTTGCTTATCATAAGAGACCGTTTAGGCTTGTCCTTTGCCTCAAAAGGATTGGGCTGCCTTGCTGCAGTTTTGGTACTACTATCGTTACTTGCTCGTTATGAATTATCTTGCTATCAAACTACTTTGTTACTTACAATTTCAGCACTTGCAGACATCACCTTGCTGAAAACCACTTGTCATTTCCTTCTACTCCTCATTGGGTTAGACACTCTTACTTATCGAAAAGAGCTACAATTGATCCCCTATACTTGTGGGTCATCAAAGGGCGGTCCGCAGGATCATCATCAACGGTTCGAGGGACTTCAAGTATGATCTACACTAACTCGTCTACTTCCGCTGCACTCCGGAGTCGGTAAAGATCGTTGATCCAAACACTATATGCATATTCATATTGTTCCTGGGTGTTCATAGGGTGATCTTTTTTGTTTTCTACTACCTTTCCCAACAATTTGGGCCTAGGGAAAGGCATGGAATTAGTTTGTAGATGATGGGTTGCAGGAGTGACGGAAACCTAAACCCCATTTTATGAGTTATTTCGTAAGGGGTTGTTTCGGATCCTTTTGTTTAATGCTATGGTTAGATTTATCTTAATTCTTCTCTTGTAGTTGCAGATGCTTACGAGGGGGGAGGGGTAATCATAAGTTGATAGTTTGTTCAAGTAAGAACATAACATTAGCTCTGGTCCACCCACATAACAACTTATCTAAGTAGTAAATGCGAGTCAACGAATCATGGTGAAAGTAACTAGATGAAATTCTAGTGTGTCCTCAAGAATGTTTAAATCACTATAAGAAGTACTTCCAGCTTGTCCTTAGCAATAATAAGGATTGGGCCACCTTGCGGCACCTTTCTACTTTGGTTAGTTGTTACTTGCTACAAATTATTTTACTCTCAAACTATCTTTCACAATTGTCTTACAACACTTGCAGAGAATACCTTACTGAAAACCACTTATTGATTCCTTTTGCTCCTCGTTGGGTTCGACACTCTTACTTATCGAAAGGACTACAATTGATCCCCTATACTTGTATGTCATTAGCGCACCACTTGGCCACCGACTGTTTAGTTATTTCAAATGGCCGCAATACTTGCTCACAGCCTCTTGGATGGTGTACCATCGATGGTTGAGCGACTTAGTCCCAGGACTTTGGATGAGTTCGTTGTGGCAGACGAAATTCTCGTGCTCATGGAACCAAGTATGAATGTTAGCCCAAAATGTTGCGCCCTTTTGCTCCGTGCCATGGCCCGAATCGATGCTAGGGGTGAATGACGCCAGTCGCACAACAACTCATCGTCCCGCATGTTGAAGCTTTCTTCTCTACCCCTCTTATTTGGACGACCACAAAATCCTCCGGAACAAGGTCGTCATGCCGTCCTGATCCTGCCTGGTCAGTGTATGAATCCGGCTAGTTGGTGTGCATGCCCGACAAGGTGTACGTGCCTGGTTGTTGGGCGTGCACCTCTGGCTTCGAGTCATCCACATGCTCATCCTTGAAGCAGCCTCCGGCTTGGTCGCTGATCATGCCCATCATCTCACTGCTCGCGTCGTCGTACGTTGGCTCCCTTGGTTGAGACATACCAAAAGATAGAGAGTGGGCACCAAGATGCTCCACACCAGCGTTCATGATCGGACAAGTTGCGGCGATGTAGACTTGCGCGAAACGGAGCGACGTCGCGTTGACGTTGACGTAATAAGGCATGTGCCTGCCAGCGGATGGCAGAGACTGATTGCCGAGCTGTTGGGCGGTGTAGAAGTAGGGAGGCTGGTATTGTTCCTGCCAGGACGGCGTGTGCATGGACAACGGTGCCCGCTTCCCAGACCCTATCGCCCTCCTACACCCCGTCTACGGCCACGCTCGCAGCCCACGCCGCCCTTATTTTTGTCGGCCGCCTCTTTATCCTTTACCTTCTTTTTGTGGCGACATGCTTGCCATGTCGTCGAGTTGATCTTCCAGGCAACCGCCTCGCTGAATTCTCCACATTCGTCGTCTCCGGTAGCTTTTCGTACAGGTCCGTGCGGTGGCAGTGACGACGAAAAAGGGAAGGAATTGGGTGGAGAGCTATGAGATGGTAGCGGAGAGCTGAAGATTGCGAAAACAGTGCCCAACTCCAAATAAGTAGGCTCTGCCTCGATTTTGGGTGGGCCGACGCTGTCTGAGTCCTACGTGGCGGGTGTTCGAACTCCTGCAAGCCTCTTGTTTGCTTTTGGTTTGTGAGAAAACGGAGACCCGGAATAATCTGCGAACAAATACAAGACAATTGGATGAATTGTGGCGTCTGGACAACTCTGGGTGTGCGTTGAAGACTCCCTTATGCCACTTATACGGAAACACTAAAAATCCAACGTCATATTTTTAGGCATGGCAAATCTAACATTTTTCATGACAATTTACATTGGCGCGAAGATGACAAATTTAGCTTGCAAGCACAACAATTTTTTTATAGAAAAATGAACCGAGGTAGATTTGTCATATTTGCCAACTAAACTTGTCCTCGGATAACATAATTTGCCATGAATGTTCGATTTGACATGGTTCAAAATCCGAGGTCAGATTTGCACTGGAGTCCATTTATTACGCGTTGGTTTGGGGAGGTGCTGTGTTCAGTTCATTCAATTCTATAATAGTACAAGGATTGTTTTGTAAATGTAGCATTAGCACATCTCGTCTCTTCGTTCCTCACGCAGTGGCCAACGAGTCCTTGGTTAGCAGGTGCACAGGATACGTTCTCCCCCCTCTCCGTTCCGCAGCGCAGGGCCGCCTATCTCCTCGTTTTTCAGGAAACGGTGCTGCCTCCGGCCCCACGGGATGGCCTCCGGAACCTCGGCAGGTCGCGAGCCGTACGACGAGGAGGCCGCGAGCCGCCGCCCGCTCGAGCTCGGCGTCCGCGACTCCGCCCCCGCTTCCGCCTCCGACCACCGGTCTGGTGAGCTCCCTATTCTCTCCTAGTACTTAGGAAGGTTCGCCTATATGCAAGGATCCGGTGCGACAATGCATCGAGCGAGGGGTGTTGGAATTGGGGAAACCCGAATGGGGCGTAGTTTCTTGTTGCGTGGCAGAAGTGGGGATCAAGTTGAATTGTGATGAGCAAGGGCTAACATAAAGCGTAATTGACTGTATTAGCAAATTCGACTTCTCAGTGTTAGCATTGTTCGTGCTCGTGCGCTCCCGTGCGTTAGTTGGTGAAAATGTGCAATGCAGCTGATGTGTGCAGCTGCAATAGTTAAATTACAGCTAGGTAAGCCTTCGGGTAGCTGTCTTGTTTTTCTTGCCAATAGTGCCTAAGGGCAACTCCAACGCGGATCACCTATTGGCAGTGGTGGATCCAGGAATTGAACCTAGCCGGGGCGAAACATTTGAGGTCTATATTTCGGAAGGTATAAATGCAAGTCCACTCAACCAAACTCATGAAATTGAACTACTAAAAACATGATGAAATGACATAAAAAGGTCTTAAAAACTACCGGCATAGACTCTTGCCGCTTGACATGCTCACTTGATGCCACAATTCAACTTCATAATACCAAGCGACACCTACAACATGTGACCCAATTTTCAATGACAGCAGCAGCAACAACAGCAACAACAACAACAACAACAACAACAACAAAGCCTTTAGTCCCAAACAAGTTGGGGTAGTCTAGAGCTGAAACACGCAAAATCTCGCAACCAAGCAAGCTTCCAGGCTCCTGTCCATGGCTAGTTCTTTGGTGATATTTGGTGATATTGCAGTCCTTCAGATCTCTATTTACGGACTCCTCCCATGTCAAGTTCGGTCTACCCCGACCTCTCTTGACATTATCAGCACGCTTTAGCCGTCTGCTATGCATTGGAGCTTCTGGAGGCCTGTGCTGAATATGCCCAAACCATCTTAGACGATGTTGGACACGCTTCTCTTCAATCGGTGCTACCCCATCTCTTATCTCGTACGTCATCATTCTGGACCCGGTCCTTGTGTGGCCACACATCCATCTCAACATGCCCATCTCCGCCACACCTAACCGCTGAACATGCCACCTTTTAGTCGGGCAACACTCAACACAAAACAACATTGCAGGTTGAATCGCCGTCCTATAGAACCTGCCTTTAGCTTTTGTGGCACTCTCTTGTCATAGAGAACGCCAGAAGCTTGGCGCCACTTCATCCATCCGGCTTTAATTCGATGGTTCACATCTTCATTGATATCCCCATCCTTATGCAACATTGACCCCAAATATCGGAAGGTGTCTTTCTGATGCACCACCCGCCCATCAAGGCTAACCTCCTCCTCATGCCTAGTAGTACTGAAACCACACCTCATGTACTCGGTTTTAGTTCTACTAAGTCTAAAACCTTTCAATTCCAAGGATTCCAAGGTTTGTCTCCATAGCTCTAACTTCCTATCGACCCCCGTCCGACTATCATTGACTAGCACCACGTCATCCGCAAAGAGCATACACCATGGCATATCTCCTTGTATATCCCTTGTGACCTCATCCATCACCAAAGCAAAAAGATAAGGGCTCAAAGCTGACCCCTGGTGTAGTCCTATTTTAATTGGAAAGTCATCAATGTCGCCATCACTTGTTCGAACATTTGTCACAATATTATCGTACATGTCCTTGATGAGGGCAATCACCCAAATTTTTAATTATGAATGTAAATCTCAGCAGAAGTGTCTTCTAATTTTTTGATACTATACATTTCAAATTCATACATAGTGTGGCATAAAAAAATGTAAACAGAGGATGAGCCCTTGAACAGGGGGAAGGAAGACCTTCTGATGTTGATCATTACCGCTATCGCGTGTGCTTGCAGTTGGTTGCAATGCAGGTAGGTCTCGTGCCGCCGTCACCGAAATTCCTACTTTCTCCGCCTCCTCCCCAATCCATCGCCATCGGCCGGAGTAGAGAGCAGCTGAGCAGGGAGTAGGTCCAGTGAGGGAGCCTCCAACAGAGTTGTGGAGGAGGAGCCGAGCAGTGTCCAACGAACGGCGACGACAACGTGAAAGAGGAGGCTTCCTAGTCCAGGAGAGGAGGTGTGGGGAGGAGCCTCGAGGAGGCATCCATCGGCGGCGCTAGGAATTGCATCGATCATCTAGGTCTCTTGCACTCGTCCCTCCTCGCTCGGTGAAGCCTCTCATCTTGGCTGGACTATAGCTTGCATGCAGTGAGTCTACGCGAGCTTTTCACTTAAGCCCACTTCTTTCTACCGTTATCTCCTTGTGCCCCTTCGACGTGAAATAACAACATGAGGCTGGAGCTTGGTCACAGACATGGCGATCTGGAGGCTAAAGGCCGACCTAAAGGATGGGGGCTGACAGGGGGTACTCAACTCCATCATTGGTGACCTGGGGCAGCTCCCTCTGTAGATCCGCCGTTGCCCATTGAACATCATCAAATGTCCGCGGACACGTCTGAATGTGTCCGCAGACAGCCGGCGGGGCACCGACCATCCAACTGTAGTCACCACTCACCAAATGTCCTCCCCTTGTTCAACGTCCTCCCTTTGAAAAATTTATCTAGATCAATAACAATTTAATCATACGTTTAAATAGTTGCAAACAGATGCAACTACAACAGAATGCATCGGATGTTCATCAAGTTTTGTACATCCATTGATCTCAAATCCCCCAGTCCGTCTGTCCGTGCCAAAGACCTCAAGTTTTGGTCTACTTTTCACCTTCCTTTTGCGTGAAGCGTTTGTACATGCTAGCACGGTACTCTTGAACAAACTTGGCCGCATCAGGCTCCAGGTCCGCTGCCTTCACGAACAACAACTTTGCGCCTCGGCTTCGGCCTTGATAGCAATCTTTTGCTCCTTGAGCTTAAGCTTATTGTTTTGCCTCTCGATGAACATGTCAAACCTCACTGCTTTCTTTTCCTCCTTCACCTCATTGTGCTTGGCAGCTGCCTCCTCCTTTGCCATGATGACCTCAAACTTCTCCATCATCTTGGCGATGGTCGTGGTCTTGATGGAATTGGCAATGGCCGCCCACTTGTTTTGCCCATCCAACTTCATCCAACAATGCATCAACATGATGGGCTTCTTCTCACCTTCTTGTACAAAGTGCATGCGCATTCGGGCTATGATATAGCCACGGCTAATGTCAGTGTTTTCAATGTCCATCAAACTTTTCCGCTCATCGATGGTTTAGAGGCCTGTATATGTACCAAAATACATTAGCTTTGGTGAGAAGTGCCGGAAGGAGGTTGGAGCTCTAGTTGAAGTTACGTGCATGCATGTTGGTGCCTTGCATGGCTTAGGTACAGATCAAGCAGAGAAGGATTGGCTGATACATGCATGTCGGTCAGCTAGGGATTAATTAGCACCTATCGAACAATGTACGTGCATGAAAGAAATGGCTTGTACACTAGCATGTTTGATATCTGGAAGAGGAGAGATAATATTGTCATGGTTATTCAGCATGTAAGCATCGGTCTGGCTAGCAAGGAAAGAGTTGGCTTCGTTCAGATATTTTACCAGAGGGAACAAGATATGAAGGGTCCATCCTGGTTTAAAAAAGAGACAATAAAGATTAAGTTTCTATTTTTGTTCTTGCCTTGCAAGGAAAATATCAGTGTGATCAGGATGGCCAAACTATGGGATTTCCTTTGCTTATGTGCGAGATGTTGGGGTCCACCACAAGTTAACAAATCTACAGAGAGAAGGCACAACATCCAATTAATATTAGTTAGTTTGTTTTTAGATATGGTAACTCCAAGATGTAAAAGTAGTCATGTTTTTTTGTGTGCGCGTGAGGGCCTTAGGTCAAGTTATAAAAGCCAGGGTGTGTCATTATAAAGACTCCGATTATGTTTTCGATAATAAACACGATGTGCTGTTAGGGTAGAAACCTGAATTGAGTTTTGGGGGAAGCTGTCTAAATGTCCCTAAGTTTTGGAGGAGGCTTTAGAAAACATCAGTGTTGCGATTTCTACATAGAAATTGTCGTGTGTGTGAGTTGCTATCGTCCAGATTGGTGCTCTCGTGCTGAACCACAAGGTTCAAATCCTCTATTTCGTGTACATCGCGTGCACGGCTGAGAGGTTACTGCTGCTGAAGATGGAGTGTCATGAAAGATCGGACCGCAACAACATATAAAATCTCGCCTTGAGGTTTGTTCCTTATTAGGTGGTATCAGAGCGAAGGTTATCACGACACTACGGAGGAGATGATCGAAGCTAAGCTATGGATTTCAATTGGAGGAGGAAGGTCGATGGGATGGGCTTTTTCATACTTGAGTTGTGGCACACGAGAGATCATTTGTCATGACGATTGACCACATGAGTTTAATCAACGTTGCAATCATTGAGATGCTCAAGAAGCTGGGTCTACTGACAACACTATGATAGCGACCGTACTCGCTGCCTTGGGGTCATGATGAGCTCACCATCACACAACAGACCAAGATATTGTTTTTGTTGGGAAAAATTCTTTTGCGAGGTTTTGTGCGACATGATTCTTGACACCGATGGTTTCATGTCATTTATTGTTGGACGAGCCATGGTATAAAGAGCACAATGTTGCGTATGATTGTCACACACAAAGATATACCGTTGAGAAGGGTAAGAAGTACAACCTTGTGCCCATGGCTGAGGAGCATTTCATCACGTGGAGGAAAAACACCAAGAGAAGATGAAAGAGCAGGAAGATGCCAACATGAAGGTCAAAAGTACTAAAATCTAGGGGGAAGAGATCAACGAAGACATGAAAATATTGATGAAGAGATCGACTCGAAACGAGGGACGATTTCGTTTCAAGGGGGAGAGGATGATACAGCCACGACTAGTGTCAGTGTTTTCAATGTTCATCAAACTTCTCCGCACGTCGATGGTTTGGAGGCCAGAGACATGTACATATCTAAATTCATTAGCTTTGGTGGGAAGTGCTAGAAGAGGTTGCAGCTCTAGTTGAAGTTACGTGCATGCATGTTGGTACCTTGTA